CTACACACGACGAGTCCCACTCACCCATCTCGCGATATACGTGGAGGCCTTCATTTGGAAATGGGTGTTCTTCAATGAATCCTTGTTCGCTCTCCTCATTAATTGATCTGTCCGATTCGGTTTCTGAGGTCTCATCAGTGAAATCGTCTTCACCGGGACTGAAATCTTCATCTCCAATAATTTCTTCCTCAATGTCCGGTCCTCTCATGGTAAAGCTCGTCCCTTCGCCGAAATTGCTCGTCCTTTCGCTAAAATTACCGACATGCGTACTCCACGTACCCTCACAACTAAACACTCCCCCGTAACCATATGATGGCGCATGATCCTCAACATGTGTAACCTGTGTGTTGCTTCCAACATAATATACAAAAACACAAAAGACATATGAGGATAGTAGTAAATCCACGAAAGAGCATTATCATTATTCAGTCTTGCGGGAATAAACGAACCATCCGGTTGTTTAACCATCAAAGTAATATCCGAAATTGTCCAACTATCACGAAATCCACCATTTTCATAAATCATATCTACCAATTTTTCATATGATATTGTTCCATTAATAACAAATGAACAATCCGGACTAGCCAAATAATTCGAAAAATTTCCTAACTCACTCTGAGGAATTTTCCAGTACACATTAACAATGTAGGGACCGATAGACACCATTTATAACCTGTTGCACAAAAATAAATCTATTTTACAAATTACAACAACACATAACATCTAAAATTTAAAACACATTTTATTACTCCAACAAATATATATATATATATATATATATATATATATATATTAGCAATCACATAATCCTCCAGAACCCTAATAACCTTATCGAACAACAACATAAAATTTATCTATAATTCGGATAAATTGAAAGCCCTAATTCTAACCCTAATTTCCAAAAACCCTAACCCCAACAACAACCAAACAATACAAAATTCATAATTTACACAAAAAATTCCAATCTCCAATTTAACATACATACATAATCGATAATCAATTAGCAATTTACAATCTTCAAACACCACCACATTCAAACATATTATAACAATTCTCAATCTCCAAACAACTCCAAACATTGTAAAAAGTTAAGATAAGCCAATATACCTCGTGCGAATGAATTAACCGGAAAGGAGGCTCGTGTCATTGTTGTCGGTTCACGTCGGGGTGAGAATTGGATCGAGTTTTTTTTTTCTGATTGTTTCCCTTCCCTTCTTTCTGTTTTCCCCTCGGTTCTCTCGGTCTCTGCTCGCGTAAATGAAATGGAGAGGAAGAGATTTTCTTTATATTTAATTCAAAAAATGTATTACAGAATACGTTTACCGATAATTTAATTGTAAAACGTATTCCTGGAATACGTTTTATACTTTTTTTAATTAAAAATAGAAAAATACAAATCGTATTTTTAAAAACATTTTTTCGGGTTTTTAAAAACGTATTCGTATAATACGTTTTATATTTATTATTTTATTAATATTCGAATATTAACGAAATTTTGTGTTTTTTTTTTTAATTTACAAAAATAATAAAAACGTATTCCCAGAATACGTCTTTCTAATTAATTTTTTGTTAATAAAATGTATTCCGAGAATACGTGTGTTTGATTTTTGTCCATACATTTTTTTCTTTATTTTTGTATGCTTAATTTTTATTTTAAAATAAATAACCTACCTATTTACAAAACAAACTATAATGTAGTTGGAAAATGGTGATATAGCGAACGAAGTAGATAACTGAGAAAAAACTCTCATAAAAACTTCCCCATTTTTTATTAATCAAAATCAACCTCTTTTTCCAAACAATAGAATATGAGTTTTAAATATAACTCTTAAGAAACCTACTTACGATAATTTATGGTCTTTTAGAAAATTCCAAATTAAATAACCTTCCTACCAAGTAAATGATTAAAATAATTAATAACTTATCTACCTGCAGCAAAACTCTCTCCCAAAATTCCTAAAACCTAGCCTCAATCGTCGGTTAATCGCCTCTCTCTCAGCGTCCATCCGGCTCGCCGGTGGACTGCCACTGTCACGTGTCTCGGATGCTTCTCGCGGCTCTTCCTACTTTTCTCTTCGATTGTGGGGGTGAAGAAGGCGAATCTCGGCGGGTTTCCTCGATCCGTGTCGGATGTTCGCCGGAGCTCCCCGGGTGGAGAGGTCAGGAGGAGCGCGGCAAAGTGGCCGGACATGGCTCTGTCGCTGCTCCATCTCTGCTCTGGTTTTCCCTTCCTAGCCCTAGTTGACAGCAATGGCTGTCTTCCGGCTCTCTGACTGCCGGCGATTTGGAGTGGCTGGGGGGCGGCAGCAGCAGCCGGTCCTCAAAGGCTGGGTGGGAAGGTCGAGTTCGAGCTTTGGTTGGGCGCCTCTTTCTTTCGGGCTGTCAGGTAGTCTCGGTTGCGGGATCTCGGTTATTGCCGAAGGCTGGTTCCTTGGCTTTACTGGGGTTTTGGATCGTGCTGAGTCCTTGTAGTTTCGGTGGTTACGTGGTGGTTCGGGCAGGTTTGTCTATTCGGGCAGGGTCGGATCAGAGGAGCAC